GGGGCGCGGGACCGACCCACGGGCAGGGAGAGGTCGCCCCCGGGCGAGAGGGGGACAAAAAAAGGTGTGCGCACCAGATGGCGCAGGCCGTTCCAGAAGTGGTAGGTGATCGGCAGGGCGATGGCCGCCTTGGCGGTGGTCCAGACAGCGGGGCTGACGTCCAGGGACTTCAGCTCGTTGACGGTCTTCTGGACGTGGGCACCAGTGAGACCGAAGTAGTTGATGGACAGGACGAAGGTGCCGGCGAAGATGATCGAGGTAATCCGGTAAAGACCAGACATGACGCTGGTGATCTGGGGCTGGTAGATGGACAGATCCGGGGACATGGGGCGGCCCATGGCGGCGGACTTGGCCAGGGTGGTCTGGGGGGTGGTGGACATCATGGCGCGGCCTATTGGCAGAGGAGGAGAGGTGGGGAGGTGGGGGTCAGGGGAGGGGGAGGGGGGAGGAATGCCCAGCATCAGGGTCGCAAGCAGCGCATGGACGTACCAAGGCCGGTGGCAGAGCGGCCACTGTTGTTCCAGGGAGGACGGAGGGGAACGCGGAGGAGGGGGGGGGGGAAGGCACGAGAGTGTCAGGGTGACCGGGACTAAAAGGATGGGGGGACGGCGTCTTTTGCGCCAACAAGCATCCCCTCGCCTACCAAGCCAGATGGAGGATCGAGCGCCCGGAAGTGCAGGCCGAGAGAGGGGGGAGGAGGAGAGAAGGGGACATACACGGCGAAGCGGGACATCATGGCGGGGAACATGGTGTAAGGGAGGAGAGGGAGGTGCAGGCGAAAAACAGCAGGGGGGGGGGAGGGGGTGGTGTGATTCGGCTTTCTGCCGGCTTCCAGCCCATCCCCAGGCATTGTGGCGGAAAAATGCCCACCCTGTCTACCGGTCCCCCGGGCGCAGGGGAGGCGACATGAAAGCCCTCAACCAGCGATCTCGCTGCCTGCCCGCCCCCCCCCCCTTCCTTCCGCCTCGGACCTCCCCTTGTTCACCTCCTCTCCCCGCCCACTTGCGCGCGACCCGCGGCCCACGGCCGCCAGCCGGAAGCAGGGTTGCTGGCCACCGAGCCGGCACGCTGGCAGCCTGGGAGGCCCCGAGCACACGCAGGGGACCCCCGGACCGCTGTCCCGCCCCGCCCCCGCGCCCCCCCTAACGGCCGACCAATCGACAGTGGTCCCAGGACACCAGGCTGCCTGCGGGAGGCGCGGGGCGCGTCGGCGGATTAGAGGGTTGACCTGCTGTCATGTCTTCCTGCGTGCTCGCGCGCATGCGCGCGTGTGGGTCAGCCACCACCGGGCCCCGGGCTAGATTCACCTGCGAAGCAAAAACGTGGACGCCGTGTGGTGCGTGCGGCCCAGCTCACCCCCCCCTCGGCCGGGCTCCCCCCCCCCCCCCCCCCCTCCTTGGGGACTTTCCCCCTCTCGCGCGGGACATCCATTCTGGGTAGAGGTGTTCTGGAGTCCCCTCCCCGGCCGACTATGTGGCGGCCTGGCGGCCTTCTCATCCAGCGGCCAGATTGGCGGAGGGGCCCTCGCGTTGCGCACGGCCCGCATCCTGTCCGTCCCCCACACCCCCCTCTCCCTCTCTCTCTCACACACATGCATATACGTACACTCCCTTTCACGCATCATGTACACTAGTCATGCAATCTCCCCTCTCTAAGGCTCGTCCGCAGCCTTGCTCCCCCCTCTCGTTCCCCGGCGCCTGCATCCAGATCCACCCTCCATTATTCCGAAAACATAAACCCTAACATCTACCGGAAGTTCCGATCACCGGATGAACAATTGTCAGTTGGCAGCACATTCGTTGGTACTCTGGGCCTACTTCCGCCGGAGCTCCCCCCGCGTTGAGCGGCTGTTTTTTTCCCCCCGCCCCCCGGTGCAGTTCACGTATCCTGTCCCGGCCACCGGGAGGGGGCAGCTTGCGCTGGTACCAGCGACTCATCTAAGTTGCTCCACGCGCGGGCGATTTGTTTTTTTCCGTCCCTCCCGCCTCCATCTCGGCGGCCTCCTTCTCTCTCTCTCTCTCTCTCGATGCATCCCGTGCGCAACACTCGCCCACGCTTGTGGGTTGGGGCATTTGAGACTCGGCAGCCAGGCCCAGGGCAACTCGACGCAGGCAGCCCTTCCCGTCCCCCCCCCCCTTTCTGTCTTCCTCTCTCTCTCTCTCTCTCTCTCTGCCCCTCCCTGCCCCCCTCCTCTGTTCCGCGCGGCCCGCCTCCTGCTCTCGTTCCATAACCCGACTTTTCGCCCGGGTTTCCGCCATCCCGGCCCTCGCTTCACGCGCCAGTCTCCCCCCCCTCTCCCTCTACACGGCGCCATCACCATGGACCTCATCCAAGCCTACAGCTCGGATGACGAGCAGGCTCACGATAGCGTCCCCACCACCAAGCGCGCTCAGGAGCAGGGCGTCGATGGGCCCGCCTCCAAGCGCCGGGCTGCCGAAGCCGACGCTGTCACGCGCCCGGTCAACCTGACCCCGGCCGTGGCGGTGGCCGAGGCGGTGGCCGACAGCCTGGTGGCCATGCGGAGCATCAACCCCACGGACCATGCGCCGATCCTTGCCCTGGTGGCGGCCGATCCTCAGGGGACATCCAGCACGGAGATCGAGCTGGCCGTCAATCCGAATGCCAAGTATGCCATCACGCCGTTCGGGTCGACAGCGGCGGCGGCTGGCGGCCCCGCGGCTGCCACCTCCACGAGAAACTCCTTCGCCGGTGCGTGTCCACCTGCCCCAAACCGGACATCCCGTTCTCCCTTTGTCTCCTTCTTCGCGGCCTCTGTCTCTGGGTCCCCTTCCTCCTTCTTTCTTTCTGTGTGTCTGTGTATCTGCCTGTCTGCGCGGCTCTGTGCCTCTGTTGCTTCCTGTACCCTTGTCAACCTCTCTCTGGCATGTTGACGCGCGCACATCTATGCATCTGCATGCATACGCTGACACTCCCCTCTCCATGCCCTTGCCCCTGCCCCTTCCCTGCCGGCAGGCAAAATCAGTCGCGAGGCCACGGATCTTTTCCAGTTCGAGCGCCAGCGTCGGAGCTTCCTTGCCCACGGCTTTGCCCTGACACAGGCCGGAAGTGAGACAGTCATCGTCGGTGACGCGGCGAAGGCCCTTGCCAGCGGAGGTACGCCGATGGCCATTGCTCCCATTCATATTTGTGCTTGCCGCTATTCGGTTGCCACCGCCCTCTCGCCCTTCTCTCTCTCTCTCTCTGCCCCCCTTCTCACATGTCTCTCTTTCCGTCGCTCTAACACATGCGCATTACTCAGGCGTTGACGCTACGGGCCGGCTCAACAACAAGACCGACGCAGCCTCGCGCCCAGTTCGCCCGAAGCGCAAGGATCGTGGCGACGTTTTTGCCAATCCACATGCCTTCGAAGGCCCATGGGCTGGGTACACCGGTGAGTTGGTGCACATTGATGCCGCCGAGCGTGAGGTGCGTCAGTTGTTGCATGCTCTTCCCCCTCCTTCTCCCCTCCCCTCTCTCTCTCTCTCTCTGTCCCCCTTCCGCCCATATTTGTGGGGGACAAATGTGACTGGCGCTGACCTCGTGCTGCCCCTTGTCCCGCTGCTCTGCCCCGCCCCTGCTACCAGGCCATGGTGCAAAAGGAGCTGGAGGGCGTCAAGCCGTCGTACGTGCCCGTCCAGGCCCCAGCGGCGGCGGCGGTCGGCGGCGCCGCACCTGGCGCCGAGCGCACCATTTTCCACGGCAAGGCCGAGCGCGATTATCAGGGTCGCCCGTGGACCTCTCTTCCCCTGGACACTGGGGTGGACTTTACCGGTGAGGGTCCGAGCAGCATTTATCTCCCGAAGAAGCTCATCCACACTTGGTCCGGGCACACAGACCGCATCAATGCCATCCGGCTCTTCCCCCAGAGCGGGCACCTTCTGCTGTCAGCCAGCAATGACAGCAAGGTTAAGGTTCGTTGTTTGGTTCCTCCCGGGGCTCTTTTCCGCCCTCCTCCCGGGGCAACCGCTCAGCCACATGCGTCCGCATGGACTCGAGCCTGACACCCCTCCCTCCCCTGTGCTTGTGCATTTTTCCGCCTTGCAACCAGATCTGGCAGGTGTATGACGATCGCCGCTGCATGCGCACCTACCTTGGCCATAGCAAGGCCGTGCGTGACATCAATTTCACAGCCGACGGCCGGCGCTTCTTGTCGGCCAGTTTCGACCGGACGGTCAAGATCTGGGACACGGAGACCGGCGCATGCTTGTCGTCCTACTCCAGCCCGAAGATCCCCTTCTGCGCCACCTTCAATCCCCGGAATGAGGACGAGTTCCTGGTCGGGTCCGCTGAGAAGCGCATTGTGCAGGTGAGTTACCGTTGTGTCCCCCCCCCTCCCCCCGGCCGCAATCTTCCCGTTTCACGCGTGTCTTTTTTTTCTTCCTGCACACCCCGTTCATGTTGTTGACCCGGGAAAGGGGGGCTTCTCCCCTGTCCACTGCCCAGTACGATTCACGCCTGGGCAAGATCGTCCAGGAGTATGACCAGCATTTGGACTCGGTGAACACGTTGACCTTCGTCGATGAGGGCCGGAGGTTCATCTCCACCTCGGATGACAAGTCCATCCGTGTGTGGGACTACAACATCCCGGTGGTGATCAAGTTCATCGCCGATCCGTCGCTTTTCTCCATCGCCGCGGTGTCCGTGCACCCGAACCGCAAGTGGTGGGCCGGCCAGTCGCTGGACAACCAAATTATGGTGTACTCCACGCGGGACCGCTTCCAGGCGCACCGGAGCAAGACCTTCCGCGGGCACAATGTTGCTGGCTACGCCTGCCGGCCAGGCTTTTCCCCGGACGGGCGTTATATCATGTCCGGCGATGCCAAGGGCCAGCTTTGGTTCTGGGACTGGAAGACCTCCAAGAGTGTCAAGTGCGTGGATCATCAGCTGGCCTGTTTGCTCCCTTTTTTCTCTTCCCTCCTCTCCCCCTCGAGGGTGATTCTCTTTGCAAATTCCTCCGTGCCCTGAAGGGCGTCGGTGGTG